AATTCTTCACTGCACGTCTTTAGTAAATCTGGCCCTAGATCTTCTGCTGTAATCATGAACATGTTTAGCAGCTAGGGACTGTTTCTCTGAGAGCACTTGAGCTCGTGACGTACAGCGAACCGCACTGATGCTCTAAAAAACTACATTTTGTACTAAAATATGATCAATATTCAAATTACATTTGAATTGTAAAGGCATAACTTCAGTTAGGGGGGAAAAACGCTATTGGCTTCTCTCCTGAGGCCACAAGAGGGCGCATCGAGCAAAATATTACTAATGCACGTTTCTTCAAAGCAATAAAGTAACACGGCTATCTTTGAAAAAAGTGCATAATGTTTAAAATAATGTTTATAAACCATATATAATTAAGTTGCTTAAACAATTAGAAACAAAACCGCATCATGCATGTATGCATAGTTCAATACAAAGGACCGAAAGCCAATCACAAAGAGTACTTTTTCTGTTTAAAAACTGAGATGCAGTGAGATGGGGGAAAAATGGCATAAAGTCTCGAGACATGTTTTTTTAAAAGTTGAACTTACATTAATTTTACATGGCTTTCTAAACATGCGGCTCTCTTGTGCGACACGTGAGTGCAAAGGTGATAAATCTGCGTTCTGTGTGAATGGCTTGGTTTCAGTTTCGCCGTAAACAAGATCTTCTCCGCATTGATATTCTCTTTTTCCGCAATATTTTGAATGAACAACGTAGCAGCGCCGCATCCAGTGGGTTCAACTGAACGACACCAACATCATCATCGCATCTCGTGTGCCACTGATAATAAGACACCTAAAATTAGAATGCAGTGTTTTTGCATTCGAATGTGGATATTTATTTTAAATTCGACGAATATTGGAAATTGTAATTAGTTTTGTCAGTGTGCTGATACCAGAGCGATCTGCTGCTTGACCCGCTCTCTAGCCGCTCGCTCCTCGGCCTTCTCTCGACTCCTCTCCTCCAGCAGACGCTTGGTCTTCTCCTCCTCCTGCTTCTTCTTGAAGTCCAGCATCTCCTTCCCCGTCTTACGCCTCTCCACCTCCTTCTTCAGCTGCACCTGTGAGACAGACGTCATGCGTGTTCTCTGTCATCCTCTAGTGGACATGATCAGAATTACCTCTTCTTCTGCTTGCTTCTTCTGCTCACGCCTTTCCTCCAGCTTCTTTGTGATCCTACATGGGAATAGAAAATAACAGCAAATTAAATTAAAACTTAAAGCCTTGTCTTGATGCACGTTACACACAAACACTGAAGAAGCTGCTGGAGTTACCAGCTTCAGTCACTGCAAAACAGGAAGCTCTTCCTAAACAGTTTTGTCTTGTTTTTTAGTACAAATGTCTAAATTCTCTTTAGCTGAATGCTAAAAATTCAGCTTTAAAATAACAGGAATAAATTACATTTTAAAATATATTCAAATAGAAAGCGGTTATTTTCAATAGTAAAAATATTTCACAATATTACTGCTGTTGCTGTATTTCTGATCAAATAAATGCAGGCTTGGTGAGCAGAAGAGACTTCTTTAAAAAAACATTATAAATCTTACCGTTCAAACACTTCTGACTGCTAGTGAATATCATAGTGGCATGTAAACACACTGAGCTGTGATTGGTCGGTTCACGTTCATCAGTGTTTGCTCACCTGTCCACTTTGGTATCCAGAGCCTCGTCTTCAGCTGGAGTCATGTGACCTGACGCTCCGTCTTCCTCCATCGGCACACACAGGGATTCTGGGAAGAGAAGACACACACACGCTCACTTGCACATTAACCTGCTAACGACTCCTGAAACTAAATCAGCAGAGCACATCAAGACTGAAACTTCACGCAAATCAGCGTCTCCTGAAAGCACAGATGTGAGCAAACCGTCCTGCAGCCAATCAGAGCTCACCTTTAGACTGCGGCTCTGAGACGGGCGTCTGATTGGCTCGCTCTGCGCTCATCTGCTGCGTGTGCATCTGGACACAAGAGCTCGTTAGCGTGAGTGTGAAACCAGCCAAACCTCAACTAGTTCACATCCACCAGCTGAATATTAGCAAATCTTATCAGAAACCTAAATATTATATTCATTTAAAAAAAATGAGTGACCGCATTAGCAAACACGAATAATAATATGTTTAATTTATATAGTGCCTTTCCCAGGCTCAAGTATTCTTTACAAATACAAGAATCCATTGCTCAATCCAGTCACAAATAATGCAGCTGCATATTTAGCACAAACCAAGTAATAAAGACATAGAAAAGAATTCAAATGGGACAAATACACAAAACAAATGTGTTTTAAGCTTTGATTTAAATTCACTGAAATAGGTGACTGTTCTGAGTGCCAAGGGTTTATTATCAGCGAAATAACTAAGTGTCGAGTTGGTTACAACCACATTTTAGACAATGTTTGTCCAGAAAACATGATGAAGTGTTCCGTTCACAAGTGGAAATAAAGTCTCAAGATCAATAATATACCTCCAGCGGGTAAAATAAGTGTTGAACACGTCACCATTTTTCTCAGTAAATATATTTCTAAAGGTACAGGTACAGGTTCAAAAATGGTGACGTGTTCAACACTTATTTTACCCGCTGTACATCTATCACACACGATGAAACACTACACATAATCAGATCAAAGCCTGTGTTCTAACAGTTATAGAGCAACGTTTACTAGATTCAGAATTGTGTCTCTAAACAAAAAGTAATAAATAATATTTTTGTTTGGCAAATAATAAATTTTACCTAGAATGTTAATAAATTATTATTTTTCTTCTTCTTCTTGGGGAGACTATATACACTTATGTGCAATATAATTCTTTACTTGCTTTTGTTGAAACTTGCACTCTATTGTGCAAGTATGCAATGGTTAAATGTGTGATTCATGTGTTCATGTGTAAATTATGCTGAGAGGAAGCTATCCTAATTTCATTATACGTGAGTGTGTGTGTGTGTGTGTGTGTGTGCATGTGTGAGAGTGAGTGTGTGTGTGTGTGTGTGTGTGTGAGAGTGTGTGCATGTGTGTGTGCGCGTGTGTGTGTGCGTGTGTGAGAGAAAGTGTGTGTGCATGTGTGTGTGTGTGAGAGAAAGTGTGTGTGCATGTGTGTGTGTGTGAGAGAAAGTGTGTGTGCATGTGTGTGTGTGTGTTCACCTGCGTGACTCTGCTGATCCTGCGCTGGAGCTCGTCCTCCGTCACGCTGCCTGCGATCACCTCCAGAGGAACACCGCTCTCTCCGATGAAGAAGCTGGACGGGACGCACACCACCGGATCTGGACCAGCTCAGAGTCAAAGACACAATCTGATCTACAGTAAACCATCTGATGAAGCAGACCGACTGTGCTGCTAGCAGAATAAACCAGGAACAATATAACAAACACCTGTACCGCTGGACTAGACCTGCTGAGTCTAAAGCTGTCGTGTCTGTGATAATCACACGAGAGCGTGCTCTCCTCTAGAGGGCTCTACAGTAGAATATTCTGTGTAGAATTCAATGAGGACAGAATGAATAAAACCAGGCTTCATTTGAACCGATGGAAGACTTCCTATTCTCTATATATCAGGCGCCTTCACGAGGGAGAGCTCGGGTTTGGGAGATGTTTACAGAAAAAGTGTTAAAAAAATGTAAAAAATAAATAAAGAAGTTGATTAAATGAATAAGTTGCTTAAAATGAAAAACAAAACAAAAAAAACATCTAACTGTACAGTGCCATAGAGAGTAGAAAATGTTTTTTTTGTACAGAAGAAATATTTTCTAAATAATATTTTATACATTCTGTAACAGATATTTTAGTGTGTAAAGACGCAAGTATTACTTTATATTTTAATTATTAAAGAGATAATTCAGCAATAAATGAACAATCTGTTCATCTTTCACTTTCCCTGGAGTTGATCTAAACCTGAATGAACTTCTCTTCAGTTCAACACAAAGAAAAGATGCTGAAGAGTGTGGGAAAGCACACCGCTGCTGGTCTCCACTGACCGCCAGAGTATCTCCTCCAGAGTATAGAAGTCAGTGGGGACCAGCAGCGGTGTGCTTTCCCACATTCTACTAAATATCTTATATTTTAAGTGAAATTTATGCATTAAAATATACAGTCTCCTTTTATATGTTAGGATGCTCGTGAGGACGATCATGTCTGGGGTCTGTGGCATTTAAAAGATTAAAAACCCCCGTTTTATGTCAAGTGGACAGCGTGTCATTCAGTATATATGAGACAGATAGATACGAGTGTGTGTGGCTTCAAACGCAGGCAGTGTTTATAATTTATGTGTCTCCTACAGCTTCAAAACATCACAATCCATCCGTCTGTCCTCAGAACAGCAGCAAAGGATACAGATCTGTGAGAACTGGACACACGCTTCACTGCAGGAACAAGAGAGACGCACACATCAGTCACTGAATCAACTAAAATCAGTGAGACTGTGAGGCAGCATTGTGGCGTCTCACCTCTCAGCATCCACTCGAATAGCCACACAGCAGTCCTGAGCCGCTTCACACACACTGTCTGTCTCCCAACTACACACCAGCTGAGTGGACTGCTCATCACTCCCTGCAGAGAGAGAGGAGAGTAAACACACTCTCTCACACGCGCACACACACACACACACACACACTCTCTCTCTCTCACACACACACACACAGTGTGATTTATAAGCATTTTGAAAAGTGGGAACATGGGGTAATGTCCTGAAAAGTCACCTTCTCCTTGTAATACCTATGTCATACCCTTGTCATTATACAAATTTATGTACTCTCACACACACGCACACACACACACACACACACACACACACACACACACGATCTCTCAGTCAGTGTGATGAAATGATGAAGTGATCCGGTTCTAACCAGACAAATGCGACTGAATTCGCGCTCAAACGCGTTGCTGAGGTAAATATCATAATTAAGCGCCGCCGCTGCAGTTTGACTCATTAAGCTGATGAAGACTATCCTCCTCATCATCAGCTGTCACCGACACACACTCAAACACACTGCAGTGTGACGATGATGATGATGTACCTGTGATCACCACCACAAACACACATCTGCGCTCTTTAGCTGCCGCGATGGCCGCCGGGATCGAGCCCTCGAACCAGCGCATGATGAAGATGAGGAGGATGAAGCTCTGCTGCTGCGCTTCCGAGGATTCCACAACTCACAGCTGCCGGAAGCTGCGCGCGGAACACGGAAGCAGTTCGGTGCGAGGAACTCTGGGAAATGTAGTTTGATCGTGAGGCGCAGGCGCAGCGTGACAGGTGTTATAAATGTATTCTCATATCCGTACAAAGCAAATAAACGTTATTATATGAAGTAAAAGATGTGTATAATTTAATGTAGCTTTGGTCAGGAACTCTTTATTTTTAATGTAATATATAAATCCCAAACCGAAAGGTTTCAAAATATTTTTATTACATAAACAAAAGACAGCGATGCATATAATAAAAAAAGGAGAGTTATAGAAGCATAAAATATAAGCCAAAACGTTATTTATCATGAAGATAATACATTGGCTGGATTCAGAACAGCATACTAGCTTAGTGTTCTCACCTTTTCTACAGAAACATATATATATATAATTTATTTGTTTTATTATCTTTGTTGATTACAGATCTTTATTTTTTATTTATTTATTTATTTCAGATCTTCACAGACGCAGCACATCACGGCGGTACGTCATTTCCCACAATGCACCTGGACAGGAATAAACAGAGAGCCAAGATGGCGGCGGACAGTGATGTGAGTTTGTTTCCATCTAAATGCGCATCATTTTTATCTGCATTCCCTGTCAGTGTCATGTAAATACACACAGCTATACGACATGTGTGTGCTTTAATGAACGTGTGTTGTTAATGACTGGAGTCGCTGGTCTGTGTTTCAGCCCGAGTCTGAGGTGTTTGAGATCACTGACTTCACCACAGCGTCAGAATGGGAGAGGTACACAAACACACACTTCCCTCCAGAACCCTCTGATCTCAGGCCCCTGGGGCTTCAGAGGAGGCTTTATTAGTCTGTGTGCAGTGTTTGCTGGAGCAGCTGTCGTTTGATTCAGATGCAGATGTCTATAATCGAAACGAGCAGCTGTTTGTTCGGTTTCCACGAACACAGACACAGACATCTGATGATTTACTGCTGCTTTCAACATGAATGTGATCAGCCACATCAGTAAAGCTCCAGTTCAGTGACAGATGATGGAGAACACACGTAAAACTGTCATGACTTATTTATTAACTTACAGTCTAACCCTTCATCAAATCAAGACTGATTCATTGCTGTGAAATACAGTCAACGGGAAGCTTTAAGTGTGTTAGCTCATCATAACGTATAACTCGTTTGTTATTGCTTCTGAAAAGTTGTGTGATGGGTTCATTTATGATCACCGTCTAGTAACTATTGTGTCTAGCACACACACACACACACACAGCTTCTTCGAATGTGTTTATCTGACAGGTTTTGTGCTTGAGTCTGTGAGGGGGCAGATCATATATTCATAGGTTTATGTCTCTGTAGATTCATATCTCGGGTCGAGGAGGTGCTCAACGACTGGAAGCTGATTGGCTCCGGTGTTGGGAAACCACTGGAGAAGGTCAGACCTGAACTACATTACCCATGATCCACTGATGACGTGTGACGCATTCAGTGTACTTTTCAAAATTAAACTAAAGTTAAAATGAAAGCAAAAAATATATATATAAAAGTTAAAAGTTATACCAAATTCAAAATAGTTTTTATTGATATTTTTAATTGGGAATTTATATTTTTTGCTTTCATTTTCAGTTTTTTTTTAAACTATTTTTTGTTTTCATTTAGCTTCATTTGTAATAATTTTTTGTTTTTATTATATTTTTAATAATTATTACTATTAGGATTGTTTTAAGTTATTACAGTTTTACTTCAGTGTTGGGTTTGAGTTATTTCCAGTCAGTAGTTTTAGGCCTGGTTTCACAGACAGCTTAGACGAAGCCAGGATTAGACCACAGTTCAATTAGGACATTTAGGTAATGTTTTTATGAATGTTCCTTAGAAAACACATCACTGGTGTCCCTCTTCAGACAAAACAAAGGCACTGATGTATTTTAAGATCAAGCTTCTTTCAGTTGAAACAGCTCAGAATTATATTTTAGTCCTTGTCTGTGAAACCAGGGGTTAGTGCTTCAACTTAAACTTAACTTTAATTGACACAGTTAATTGCCAAGGCAGCATTTGTATTTTTTATCTAGTTTTTCATCTAATATTTTATTTCAGCTGACATGTTTTTAATGGTGTTAATTAAGGCTAATGACCGTGTTGTGTTGATGCTCTCAGGGAGAACTCACCAGCGGCTCGTGGGAGGAGACCACGCAGGAGATCAGCTTCTCTGACTTCAGGTTCTCCATCACACATCACTGTCTGAAGCAGGAGTCCGCTGAGAACGAGAGCAGGGACGAGCCGGAGGAAGGTACGTGTGACCTCTGACCTGCTCGGATGACCTTTGACCTCTCCTGCGTGTGTTTGAGCGGTGTCTGTGCTTTCAGATGCGTGTCCGCTGGCCATGCAGGACCTGCTGTGCATGAACAACGACTTTCCCCCGCGAGCGCACTGCCTCGTCAGATGGTGAGGAGAGCGGCAGAGTTTAGGTCTGGCACAATAAATCCATGCATTCCTCTCGTGTTGCTCAGACAGACGTTAGCTTCTGAATGCAGTATTGAATCAAGATGCAGTAAATACACTTTTTAGTCAGTTCAGTCAAAACTGTGTTGAAACTGGGCCCCAGATCTTATAATGAAATGTAATAGCAGTACTGTAATGGAAGCATGCGTGTTCTGCCGCAGGTTCGGTGTGCGTGAGTTCGTGGTGATTTCTCCAGGAGCCAACTGTGAAGCTGTGGTCAGCGAGTCCAAGTGTAACCTGCTGCTGAGCTCCGTGTCCATCGCTCTGGCCAACACGGGCTGGTGAGTGACCGACA